CGACAAGGGCTTCCAAAAGCATCCCTCTATTGGGTTCTTCCTCATTTTTCTTTTGTCTTCCAAGGCTGAACTAGTTGGCTGGGAAGAGTGGCTGGATATTCAGGTGAGGATCCAGTGACCCTGCTTGGCACTCCTTTAATGAATGAACCCAACCATCAACAAGCCCAGTTGTGACTATGTTTAGTGATCAGGCTCAGCCGAAGTCGTGATGATGGTAGTTATTTCATGCAGAAGGGACTGCTGTATATCATCATCTTATTAAAAGGACTACCACGTGGAGGCAGGATCTGGGGGCTGTCAGGCTATAACCTGGGTTCTCAGGCCCTCTGGTAGTTGGAGGCCAGAGGGAGGCCAGAACCCAGCACTCTCTGGTGGTCTGCTGAGCTCCAAGTAGCTACCCCAATGGAGGAGGTCTTGAGACTTACTTAATTTTTATAGCATTCTATTCAGTATTGTCTTATTTTTTTATTATTTTTTATTTTATGTGTATGCGTGTATTGCCTGCATGTGGGAAACTGCACCATGTCGTGCAATGCCCACAGAGGACAGAAGAGACTGTCAGATTACCTGGAACTGGAGTTACAGACAGTTGTTAGCTGCCATGTGGGTGCTGGGATTCGAACCCGAGTCTTCTGCAAGAACAGTTAGTGTTCTTAACCACTGAGCCATCTCTCCAGCCCCAATATTGTCTTATTTTTAAGTAGAGAAAACCGAGGCTTAAAGAGGTTAACTCATTCAAGCTTCATACTGCAGCAAGTGGGCAATGTAGGTATGGCTGAATCCAGTCCATCTCAGACTGGAAGAAAACCTGCTAAGGTTTGTGAACCTTTGGTTGAGAGCTAGAGAAAGGATAGGACTACTTCACTATCTCTCTTGGGTACTGTTAGCAAGAAACCCCAGTCCTACCACTGCAGGGGGACTCTGCCCTAATAGCAAGAAGCTAGAACTGGTAACTGTTGAAGGACACAGGCTAGTGAGGACCAGGCACTTGTCCCTCCAGTTGAACTGTGCCTTTTACCTTCTTAGGTTTGAGAAAACTTTCCAGATAAGGTTTTATTCAGAAAGCTTCAAAGAAAAATTTTTCTTAGCCTGACCCATGGATAAGAAACACAGAAACTTCCTTCCAAGCAGACTGGAGGAGAGGAAAGCATGTGGGAACTGTGAGGAAGGTGGGCAGTCTGGGGTTCAGGCTCATTCTCCTCTCCAGAAACTTCCAGGTGTCTGTGAGCCTCTCTATAGGGTAGCTGGGCCAGCCCAAGTGGAGCACTGACTCCTGACAAGCACAGACTGCTGTTGACTACCTTTCTGAGAGACTTGCTGACAAAGCATCCCTGGAAGAGCTTGTATAGGCTTAGCCTTGAACTCACTCAGATAGGCTTTGAACTTAACTATCCTGCTTTAGTCTTCCAAGTAGCTGGGACTTTAGCCCTGATGATGAATCCATCTTTTTTTCCTTTACAAAGCTGTTCAACTATGTGGACAATGGATAATAGCTGTGAGGTTTCAGGTGACTACACAGAAAAGAATTTGATAAAGGTAGAAAAAATAAATTTCTTCCCAAACATCACTGCCATCCAGTTTTTTAAAACTGAATGTAAATGATAGGCCTGTGTTAAGGGCTAGCTTTAAGAAATATCTATTTATCTATCATCTATCTATCATCTATCATCTATCTGTCATCTATTTACATCCTCTATCATCTATCATCTCTCTATCATCTATCATCCATCTAGCATATAAAGTATATTTCAGCTTGGCTTGCCTTCTGCAGTTCTTATCTGTCATTACAAGCTGTGATGAGATGAATGATAGATTACTATCTTCCTATATACAAAAGGTAGTTAGTCATAGCCAACCTTGAAAAGCAAACAAATCCAAAAGTGGAAGGCTAAGAACACACAAGGAATTTCAGAGACATCAACGTGGTGCCCCTATGCTCAGGGTTATACCTCAAATATCAGCCAAAATCATCTCGGTATCCCAGTAGCCATTCTGTGAACAGTGGCCTTTGGGCAGATTGTGTTGTCGGTTCACTATCCAGAGACTGGTGATCCCGTTTGGAAGGTGGAAGGGAGAGGAAATCCAGGCTTCTGTTTAAGGAATATAAAGGTCATTCCACAATCTTCAAGAATGGTATACTGACAAGCTAAATTAGCAGGACCCTCCCAGCTCCATTATAATAGAGATGTTTGTCCTGTTGGTTAGGTAGTACTGTGTGTTGGATTAGAAGTTTCTCAAGTCAACAAAACTAATTGGGTAATATTTTGATAAGCAACTTAAATTTCTTATTTTTAAAAATGGAAGAAAATCTATCATTCTTTCCTGGTCCAGAGTGTCAAATAATTAATATAAAAAAAGTATAGAAGGACTGTACTAGTGTTCAGGCATTGGGGAATGCATAGCATTTCCCTTATGCACAGGACACATTCTGTACCTCACTCAACAGTGTTGAGTGGGCAGAAAGCACTGGTACTAGCGGAGTAAGGAATGGAACAGCCCGCTCTGCGGCGTCTCTGCCATTTCCCTTGCTCCATTTGTTTTTGTTTTTGGTCCTTTTGAGATGGTCTCCCTGTAGCCCCAGCTGTCCTGGAACTCACAGAGCTCCAACTGCCTCTGCTTCCCCAGTGCTGGGATTAAAGGCGTGCACCACCATGCCTGGCTCCCTAGCTCCATTAGGAATGAAGGTATCCTAGGTATTTTTAATTTGGTAGTTTTTATTCTAACAAAGTAATCAATTTTTTGTTCTGTTCTTCAAGACGTTGGCTTTTCTATCAAGTTAGGTTCATTGCTGCTGAAGCTAAGTATTTCTATTTTTTTTCTCAATGTGTAAAGAAATGAACTGTTATTTCACAGATGACAAACAGGCAAAGAAGAGGAATTTGAAAAGTTTAGAGCTAGTTCGTAGTGGCTCTCAGATTGACTTACTAGCCCTAACTCCCCATGCAGTCCTAACCCCTCATTTCTGTTTAAAGATCATTTTTTTCCGGACTGGGCATGGCATGCCTTTAATCCTAGCACTCAGGAGGCAGAAGCAGGCGGATCGCCATGAGTTCAAGGCCTGGTCTACAGAGCGAGTTTCGGGTCAGCTGGGGCTACAGGGAGACCCTGTCTCGAAAAAAAAAAAAGAAAAAATCATTTTGCTTTTTCTTAAAACTTATTTTAGCATTGGTTAATATTATATTTTTAACTATTTGTACCACAATCATTTCCCTAATTTGTATCTTTTTTTTTTTTTTTTCTGCCTCCCAAGTGCTGGGATTAAAGGCATGCGCCACCACACCCAGCCTCCTAATTTGTATTTTTAAAAGATAAAAGTTCTTTTAATTCTACCAACATTGATAAGTGTAAATGACAGACATTTCAGTTCAACTTAAACCTTTAAGCTTGTGGCTTTGAAAACTAGAAACAAGTTTTTAGATGTGGAAATCAGAATAGTATAAAAGAACCTGGAAAAGCATTGATTATCCTCAAAGTAGCCTAACAATTTAGGAATGGAAAAGATTTTTATAGTTGATAGTGTTTAATCTCTACATCTACCCCAACTCCAATCTTGGAAATAAGTGCATGTCACATGCAGAAATGACAATTTGTATTTCATGTAGTGCCAGGTATTTTTCTAAGTGCATTGTAAGCACTAGCTTATGTCACCATGTATCTGCCCTAGAAAGTAAGTCCTCTTTTTTTTATTTATTATTTTTATTTTATGTGTATGCGTGTATTGCCTGCATGTAGGTAAGTGCACCCGTCTTGTGCAATGCCGGAGGAGGTCAGAAGAGGCTGTTACGGACAGTTGTTAGCTGCCATGTGGGTGCTGGGATTTGAACCTGGGTCTTCTGCAAGAACAGCCAGTATTCTTAACCGCTGAGCCATCTCTCCAGCCCCGAAAGTAAGTCCTCTTAATGCCCCCATTTCACAGATGGGAAACAGGCATAGATAGGAAAGGTGACCATTCATCAAGGGGTAGGAATGAGTGAAGATTCAGAGTCAGGAAGTTTGGCTTCCTGTTTAATCTTCTGTTTTATATTATACTACGTGTCCATAAGGTACAAACAGAAAAAAGGGGACTAGGTTCAGGCAGCACAAATCTACTTGAGAAATACTAAAATGCACAGCTAATGCTGGTGAAAAATCCAGAGTCTAGAATTAGGCAGGAGTATGGAGCAAAGCAATTACAATACATAAAGACAGTGTCACTGCTAAGTTGTGTTTGGGGCAGGTCTCTGCTTTGGCTGTCCCCTTCTTAGGGATACTATAAACAATGGAGCAGCCAGTAGATGGAGTTTTCAAAAAGGATGGAAAGGATACTGTACTAGATGCTACATGACCATCCCTTATACTGTTTTAAGCTTTGGGTATATATGTGTGTGTGGGAGGGGTAATATGTCTGTGGAAGGCAGAGGTCAGTCTCAGGTGTCTTTCCTCAGGTGCTATCCACCTTTTTTGGAGACAGGATCACTCACCAGCCTCGAGCTCGCCACCTAAGCCAGGTTAGCTTGGCAGAAAGCCCTAGGGATCTGCTTGTCTTCATCTCCCCAGTGCTGGGATTATGAATACATGCCACCATGCCTGGCTTCTTTACATGGGCTCTAGGAATCAAACTCAGGCCCTCATGCTTGTATGGCAAGCACTTTACCCACTGAGCTATCTCCCCAGCCCTTTGTTTTCCTGTGCTTCCCTGTCTTTAACTTGGTCATGCCCCAGTTTTATACCAAGTAGTTTCCTAATGCTGCTGTAGCACTGCTACAAACTTCAAGTAGCTTAGAACAATACAGAATTATAATCTTACAATTTCACAGGGCTAAAGACAATACTTTGGAGACTCTAGGGAGAGAATCTATTTTCCTGCTTTTCCAAGCTTCTAGAAGTCAGCCAGATCCTGGGGTTGGTGGACCCTTTCTGTCTTCAAAGCCAACAGTAGTAATGCATCTTGCAAATTCTTTCACTCCAGCCTCACTGTCATCTAGAAAACACCTTGGGGTTATCTTGGGCCACTTGGCAAGGCAGGGTAGTCTCACGGTCCTTAAGCTGGAGTCTTGTTTGCCATATAATTTATCTACTGGTTCTGAATTAGGATGTGGACATCTTGGGTGGGGGGTCATTATACCTATGGCAGAATATAAAGGCCCATCTCCTAGCTGTAAGGATTGCCTCCTTCCATGTCTACCATCTCCCTTACCCCCTCAGCCTCATGGGCAAGGTCTGTTGCTGTAACTATTTGTCAAGGCTCCCTGCATTAACCTTCAGTCTGCCCCACTCCCCACCCCCATCCCTACCCATGTGTTGAGTTCCCTCCCAACTTTGGTGGTAGCCTCATAGTGCTAAGCTCTACAACAGTTTCTTTCCCTTTCTCCTTTCTTCTTTCCTCCTCTTCTTCCCTTCATACCCTGCCTCAAACACACTAGCCCAACCTCCCAATGGATCTCTAAAGGAGAAACGCAGAGTTATTGCCTTTTAATTACAAGTGCTATTGTAGCATCTATAAGGAAGAACATTTTAAGCTTAATTGAGACCAAATGTGAAGTTAAATTAAATGAATAACTAATTAACGTAATGTTCCTGCATTAGCCCCGTGTGAGTGCAGAGGCCCAGAGAGAAGACAGGTACCAAGCCTCTGGTGACTAGTCAGTGCCCAGAGCTGCTGGGGGCATAGAACCTGGCATGGAAAGTGAGTTCAAAAGGGCAGATTTCAGAGTGGGGGATATTCCAACCTTTGAGATTTCCCCCAAACCCTTCATACTTAAGCTGGCATGTCTGAGGCCTGGTTCTGGGCTCCCACAAAGCTTTTGTTCATTTCTAATGCCTCACTTGCCTGCCTGGAGACCATGTATCTTGTTCGTGTTCCAGTCGCGTATACCTACTGTAGTAGGGCTTGACAAATATTTGTGTTAGCCTCCTTTGTCTTCCACTTTCATTCGTCTTATCACACCATCCAAGGCCCATTATTCATAAGCCACCCACCAGGATCACCCCTCAGCAGCCCTGTCCCTTCGTGGTTGGACTAAAGAATGGTGTAGTTCTCAACTTCAGTCATTGCTTCCCCATGTACTTTTTAAAAAATTGTTTATTTTAAAATATTTTATGTGTATGCGTGTATTGCCTGCATGCAGGTAAGTGCACCCATGTCATGCAATGCCTGAGGACAGAAGAGGCTGTCAGATCCCCTGGAACTGGAGTTATAGACAATTGTTAGCTGCCATGTGGGTCCTAGGATTCGAACCTGGGTCCTCTGTAAGAGCGGTCAGTACTCTTAACTGCTGAACTATCTCCCTAGTCACACAGTCATTTAGGTTTTAAAAATATTAAAAAATTGCTGGGCATGGTGGCGCACACCTGTAGTCCCAGCACTTGGGAGGCAGAGGCAGGCGGATCTCTTTGAGATTAAATCCCGCATGGGCGAAGAGGCTGTCAGATCCCCTGGAGCTGGAGTTACGGACAGTTGTTAGCTGCCATGTGGGTGCTGAGATTCGAACCTGGGTCTTCTGCAAGAACAACCAGTGTTCTTAACCGCTGAGCCATCTCTCCAGCCAAAACAATTTTTTTTAATTGTTTATAAATTGTTTTCATCCCCTAAGGAGAAAGGATGGTAAGTGTGTTTAATACTTATTTATCCCCCTCACACCAATCTTATGAGATGGGGAATGTTATTACCCTGTTCTAGAGGAAGAAACCGGAGGAAAGCCGGTAAGTAGTGGAACAGGGAACCTAAGGCTTCAAAGAGTTGTTCCTCCTGCTTTGACCTTCATCCACAGGGGGAAGTTAGGGAGTCAGGAAAAGTGCTCAGGCTTCCTTCCCCAAGCAGAATGGCAACATACACCCACCCTGGGCTCTTCCACAGGATGCTGTCACCCTCTAGTGGCTCATGGAAGTAACACAGCTTCGACTTAAGTCTGACCCAGGTAATATCAGATAAGTATCTTTCTGTCCTTGAAAGGAGTTGTTCATGAATACTGAGAACAGTGCCATGTATCACAGCCCCTGTCCCCCGAGGCCCTAAGACTTAGAGGTTTCTGACTGACTGCTGCTTGCAGAGCTGAAGTGAGCACCAGTCTTGTGATCCTTCCCCGTTACCACACAGGGTGTTCAATGTGTTTTACTGCTGAGGCCTGTGTGCCAGCTAACACACTGACTCACACAATATCCCAGTAAATGCAAGTCATATTTTGTATGGGGCTCTAGGCTCTCACTGCATGTGTTATCAATGTCTGGAAATGCCAACTGTCACAGCTCTAGAACACCAAGTTTGTAGGTCTTGTGAACCTTTTCACTGTCACACGAACCCTGTTGTTGCTGCTATGCCAGACCCCACCAAGGATAAGCACAGGCACAAGTGACACAGGAAATCTGTATTGGTGCTGATGGGCAGAAATGTCAGGAGTCGGCATGGCTTGTAGTGATCCAGGACTTGGGATGGAAGGAGCATGTGCATGAAAACATTGGGCCGAGGTGACCGCACATGGCTCCAAGCAATTGCACATTAGCAGCTTCAGATGAACCAAGCAGTACCCTCATTTCTTAGTAGACTTGGCACCTGTGTTCAGGATTAAGTCCTTTCTGTGTCCATTTTCCTGTTCATTCCTACAGCATGCAGTGGACACCCAGTGCTTAACACACACTAGTATTTTCAGCCATGCAAACCTCCCTCAGTCTCCGTAGCACTGACCCCAATGACTTCATCCACCAAGGAGCCTTCAGGGGTCTTAAGACCGGGGTGAAGCAAGGAAGGCACTCAACCCTGAGGGTGGGCATGCTTAGGAGCCCAAGAGTGAGCATCCCCTTACATTCTGTGCCCCAAGGCAGCTCCTTACCTTACCCTAGCCTTGTCTCTTTCCCATAGGGAGCTGTGTAAGAGCAGCTCTAATGCTTCAAAGTGGTTGAATTATCAACAGGATCAACAAGAGGATAGATGAAGAGGATCCAACTTGGGAAAATACATAAAGAAGACTAGTTCATGGACAAAGGGACAAAGAGGCCCAGCACCTTTGAAACAAGATGAGATGCCTCCATAGGTACAGGCTAATTGCAGAGGTTAAAACTTTTAACATGGGAAGGATAGATGTACTTTTTCCAGGCCTTGGCCCTTGCTTGAAATCTGAACAAGCAGGAGTCTAAGCATGTCCTTCCCCTCTGTTCTCAGCCTGTCCCTTCTGCTTGTAGCTTCTAGAGCTCAGGTTCCAGAGTTTTCCATTTCCCCATGCTTGGTGCTGGGGTCCCTTCCCATAGAATCTTCTGTACCCTTAGTGACAGTATGGGTTTAGGCTGGACTTGGCTGAGCTGGTTGGTGTTTGGTCAGGAGGCACTGCCTCATCTTGCAGTGGAAGTTTTCATTTTCTTTCCCATAGGGAGCCCTTTGGGTGCTCACCCTGGACCCTGCATGCTTCTCTTCCAGTTGAGGTCTCAGATTTCTTTATACCTACGTGAACAAGAGAGGTAAGATGGAGGAGAAAGTAAGCCACAGTTTTTCCGCTCCTGCCTTTCGTGTCTACTCTGTGGTTAGGGTTCCCATCTACTTATTGGGCAGGGACTAGCAAGCCAGAATAATACAGAAAGCCAAGTGTTTCTGCCACATTTGTCCACTTTACAAAGCATTACCACATATCCCATTTTCTCCAAGCCTCCGATCAACCCTACTAAGTATTTAGGGATAAGCATCCCCATTATACATAAGGATGCAGAGACTCTGAGGGGTCTGTCAATGTCTTAGAGGTGAGTGTGAAGAGAGGCCAAGAATATCAGGTTCTCAGCCCAGAGCCCTCCCAGTTCTACTAGATCACTGCACACTTCTTAATGGGCCTTCCATACAGAAGAACCAGTCTGGGAGAGTTGCAGTGCCCAGAAAAACAAGCCACCTCACAGACCTAGGTTCTGTGTTAGGCTCTGCCAGGACTGGCCCCTCACTTCTAAGTGAGAATACCCGTCTCTCAAGATGGTTGAGCAGCAAGCCCCAGTGTTTAGGGCTGGACTCCATCACTGTTTTTTCCATACTTGTACTTCCCCCTTTCTGTTTGTCTTCTTCTAGTCTCCCTTCAAGCCTGGCCCAGTGAATACGGGTAAAAGGAACTAAACCTACTGTTCAATCCCCTTTCCCTTCCTCTAGGGCCTGGCAAGGCAGAACAGACCCTGTGAGTGCTGCTGCATGCAGCACTGCTTCCTGCTTCCAGTTTTTCTCCTGGCATGAGACCCTCCTGAAGCAGAAGTGCTTCCCCAGGCAGTCTCTTCACATTTATTATTCCAGCCCAGGTCCAGGCTCTGCCAGCTCCTCATTAATAAGACACTTCTGCCAGAAGGAGAGCCAGAAAGGCCCCAGGGACAGTCACCCAACCACCAGCACCTCAGCCTCTGGCCAGTCACTGACCAATTCATACCACCTCCACACCCACCACCATTGGACACCAGGCAGACAGCATACAAACAGCCAACAGCACTACTTGATTCAAATTTCGTTCCAGAGGCTCTGATTTGCCAGTTGCTCTTTTCTGCACATCCCAGGCAGAGGGACCAGATATCCTTGATTTCTGACCTTCAGGAGGCACTAGTAGCTCAGCCTGAGTTCAGAGTGAAAATGATTCCCCATCTCTATCCCCTCTGCCCTTGGGGTATGACCCAAGCCCTCTGTGGCATCTCAGACCCCCTGAGAAACATTTCCCATGTACCATGATCTGCCTAGTTTGAATCTCTAGACATGGCTCCCAAGGAAACAGAGAAAGCTGGAAAAAAAAACCATAATCATACACCGGAGGGGAGAGGATTAGCGTGCAGCCCACATTCTGTTGGCACATTAATCAGACTTGAAGAAAATACTCACAAAAGTCATAGGACTTGAGGAAAATACTATCGCGGGTGGGTTAGGGCCAGACTAGAGCTATGGAGACACATGGGGACAACAGAGGACCGGTTAGCAGGGCTGGGGCGGGATGGGGGTCCAATAGCATATCAACGAGGGCTGGCTCAGTGTACCTGAGCCAGCTACAGATTGGATGTAGAGTCACTGAGCTCTGGGTGAAATCCCAAAAAGAAGTGCGGTTAGGAGGATGGCTTCCATTCCCGGGGGACTCACCCACTACTTCTGCTCCAGGACGTCTTCCAAGCCAGGATCTCTTTATACACCAACCTGCAGAGGAGCTGTGGAGAGTCCAGGGCACAGAGGGAAGGGAAGGTGCTGTGAACATCAACACACAGCGGACCCATGGACAGGTGACTAAGAAGTTTCACTAGGCGGGATCCCTCCCCATTTGGCAGTCATTCTATGCAAAGAGAAGCTGCTGTTCTCAGCATCCCAGAGGCCCCAATGCTTTGGAAATACCAGGGTTCCAGTCTGGAGGGGTAAAGCATACCCTAGCAGCCATCTGTGTACCCCAAGAACTCTTACCAAACAGGCCAGGATGTCGGCAGTAATAAGCATATAGAAGACATTATTCCAGCCTGTCGGGGAAATGAGCCCAGCCAGAAGGGGCCCCAGAGCAGCACCTGTATGGAACACAGTCTTGTGAGAGTGGGATACATGGCTTCTCTGACCACCTCGGGCAGTGTGCCAAGGGGTCCACCCAAGACAAGGCTTGGCTTCAGCTTCTGGGAGCCAATACTAGTCACAGACCTATGGAGCCAGTGCCGTCGATGATGGCTGTGACGGTGGAGAGGGCCTTGGCATTACCCTTCAAGCTCTCATGAGTGCCCTGGGGAGAAAGAACAGAGTGTGGAAGTCTGAGCTGAGCAACACCACTAGAAGCACTGGGAAAAAGCTGACTTGAGGATAGTAAGCACCTGGAGTTGAAAAGGGCACACGAAGGTTCTGCAGAACAGGAAATAGGGAAAAGGAGCTGGGGAGTGAACTTGGGAATAGAGGTCCTGGCCCCAGAGCAGTCTAGTCCCAGGGATGGCCCACTTACCAGGTCAGCAGAGACTGCTGTGGTGATGAGTGCATAAGGACCATTGACCAGGAGCCCACAGATAATCAGCATCACTGGGAAGGCAGCAGAGCCAGTGCCATTAGAGATGACGGGCCATATCCAGTCCCAGGTCTAGAGCAGGCAACACCCCCAGGCCTTGGCCCCACGCCCACTTCATGAAGCCCTCCCAAAGGCAGAGCCTTTTCATATCCTGGTGGGACTTTACCCCCTCCTCACCTATGGAGCTGGTTATCCCATTCTGGCCAACGTAATTATACAGAAACATCTGAAAGAGGATGGAGAGATAGAGTTGCAGCTGGCTTCCCCTTGCTGGGCTAGACCCAACTGAAACAGCCCTCACCTGCTCCAGAATGTTAGATACCACCTTGTTCCTCCTGCCTTGAACATCCAGACTTCTCAGGTCTTTAAGTGTCTCAGAGATGAACCATGGTAATCTGTAATTAATTCCACCTGCCCCCTTTTTGTTTTTTGAGGTAGTGTCTGTAGCCCGAGCTGGCCTCAAGCTCACTACATAGCTGACCTTGATCCCTGATCCTCCTGTTCTACCTCCCAAGTGTTAGGATTACAGGCATGTACCACCAGGCCTGACTCTATAACTATTATTTCCCAAAAAAGTTTTCTCTCATGTCTGTCCTCCACTTCTTTCTTTCCTTGGTCACCACATTTAGTAGCTGGTGACTCTCTTCTTCACCGTGGCCAAATAATCACCAATCCCTTTCTGAAATTCTCAGTACTGGTCTCTTCAAAGGGCCTGCTCCTCTTCTCCTTCACCTACCCTTGCTTCTCCTTCACATGTGCACAGGAATACACATGCACGTGTATAATGAGATAGCCATGTGTACAAAAATAGAAATGGGCACACAGGTCACAGGTGCATTATTCATAAGAACATACACTTTGCCCTTGAGGTTATACGCACCATGGGAGCAGCCAAGATGAGCATGATGCAGCAAGTGGTGGCCCTGCCATTGGTGTAGTCAGAGATGAGCCCTGCCGCAATGCCGCCTGGAACACATAGCCACTCACACACTGTCCCTGACACAACCATGCCATCCCTCACCTGATGCCCAGCTTTGCCCCATTGTTTTTCCCAGTTCTCGCCTAGCCTTAAGAAAGACCATCTCCCTCTGAAGTCCTTCCCTGCACCCATCACTCCAGGAAAGCAAGAATAAAATTTGTCTTCCTTGGGCCCACCCTGCCAAACAGAAGCAGAAATAAGAACACATTCCAAGGTCTCTTCTCTAGAACTACCTGCCCAGATTATGGCTCCTTACTACACTCCTGTAGAGAGGAGGAAAGGCAGCCTACTGAGACAGAAGGTCGGTCTCACCTATGATGCCACCAACATCAAAGAGTGTGGATAGATCCCCAGCCTCCTTGGCACTAAAACGAGCTGTAGAAAAACACAAAAACATGATCATACACTCAGGGAAGCTCAGGACAAAGCATAGTGAGAAGAGTCCACGTGGGACATTAGTCCAGCCCAGCCACCTCCTTCAAGGAAGGACCTGAGGGCCCATGACATAGTAATTGGCTAGGGCCACAAGTTAGGTCCGCAATAGTTTGGGACATTCCTCTTCTGGCCTTGAGTCTGGCACTGTCCTTTTGTCCTTGACCTCTCAGAACAAGGCCTCTCCTATAAGCTTGTAACCTGGCCTTTTTGAGAGTCCCTCTAGCTTTCTCCTGGACTGCAATAGTTGACTGAGCATCAGCCCAACCAGCCATGCTTGCCCAACACCTGACCTAGCAATGAGCCCCACTAGGGGCTCTTCTAGCTGTGCCACCTTAGGTCCCTGCTAATGCCCACAACCAGGAGGAGACCTGCAGGATGACAGAGATTTTGGGCTTAAAAAGGGATTATCTAGAAACTTGACTTGTAACTCCACCCCCAAGGCTAATTCATACTCTGAAGTCAGCATCAAAGCCATAAAACAAAAGCTCACAGTGTCTCTGAAACTGACACAGCACTCTACCATAATCACAAAGAGGGGCCCCCTCATAGAGAGCTGTGGGCAAGCTATAGCTTGAGACCCAGCCGTGATTAATCCCCATGGTTCCTGGGTATTTAGAGCAAGTATGTTTGTGGCAGGGTAGCCATTGTCCTCCCCTGGGCTGGGAGGGAGTAGAGCAGCCCTAGGTGAAAGGCCCTAGGTAAGAGGTGGGGCTCTCAGGATCCCAGGGATCAGGAAGGTGGAGCAGGCTGCTCCTTGGCAGTGCTACTCCATCTGTAGAAGAGCAGAGACTCTGAGAAAGTGAACATCAAAACAGTCTTTTCAACCACAAAGTGATCTCTCTTTATCTACATTGTTAGGCAGGGCCAGTAGAAAGTAGCCCATAAGGTGGAGCAGCACCTCAGTGCAGGCCAGCAGATCCCAGCACAAAGGCAGAAATGCCATGATGGCCCTTAGAAGAAAAGCCCTGCGGTTGCCAGCAGGAAGCAGGGAAGCTCTCTTGGCCTCTTGAGCACCTGGAAGAGGTGCTCAAGGCAGACTTTCACCCCCTGTGAGCCAAGCAACAGGCACTCAAGCTGGAAAAGGGAGGACTGCAGGACAACTTTGTGCTCCTAACACTCTACACCGCTCCAAGGAAGGCAGGTAGCTGGAGGCAGGGTCAAGGGGGTAGTGCAGCACAGGGCTCAGCTTCTCACTTAAACAAGTAACTAAGCAGAAATCTTGCCTATGTACTGGAATCACAAACCCAGAAACAATGTCCTCCCCAGCAATAGTGGCTTGGCCTCCTTAGAGACCCTTCCTTTCAGCTCTTCTTCCCCTGGACTTACCCACGTTGAAGATGTACAGAGGCAACCAGTAGAGAAAGGTGTAGCTGACCAGCTTGGCAAAGAGCAGACACAAAGAGAACTCAATCACACCCTAGAAAGTACAGAAGAAGGCACAATGGAAAGACAGTCAGATCTTTGGTCCAGTGGCGGCCCCACAGGTGGCATAGCACTGCCCCTGGACTGTCATCATCCCCACACAAAGCAACCTCAAATACACATCCAATCCCAATGGCAGCAATGTGCCTCCTGCTCCATGTCATGTCAAGATAGATCTCCCATACCAACTGCTCCCCAAGCAGCCCATCCATCCTGCAATCTATAAAGAAATCCTAGAAACCATTTGCCACCCATGACATCCTATCTCCTAATAGCCAGTGGAAAATTCTAGACTCTCTTCCCTTCATTCCACAAACTTCTCACCGGGATCTTGAGTGCCCCCAGAAAGCTGATGGCTGCAGGCTCAGGGTCCTGCTCCTTGGAGAAGCTAGCTGCAGTTTCCATGACGCTCTCCCTGTTCGTGTAAGGACCATTCCCAGGATCCTCAGGGTTGTCTTGTTCCTTCTCCATGTCATCCTGAGCAAAGGAGATGATTCCTTACTATAGACATGGCCACACAACCAACCTTCTCCACTGGGAGGGATGGCCCAGATGAGAGGCAAAGGGTACCCATCCTGGGGAAGGTGTATGTGTCTCTTGAGCTGCCAGACCCATCACAAAGTGGAGGAGCCAACCCAGGAGCCCAACACAGGGCCTGAGAAGTCACTAGAAGACCACAGTTCCCTCTAACTCTTGGCCTTCTGAGGTCTGACCCTTATGATGCAGTGAGAGGGCAGGCCTGGAGCTGGGATCACATGCTCACATGGTGCTGTGGAGGGGTGCAATCCACGTCTTCTGGATCTGGGAGAGAAAAAAACCTTTCTGAGACATCTTACTTTACAGTGGGTCTGTGCTAGTGCAGAGAGCTAGCCCTACATCTCCCATGTGGCCTGAAGCATAAGGGAGGAGGCTTTCTAGGCCGGATTCTCATAGGACCAACCATGTCATGACTGGCTGGATTACAATGTTCCATTAACACCTGGCCTTGCCAATTCCCAGGGCTGTCAGAGAATGGGAAAGACAGCAACTGTCTGCACTGAATGTAAGGGGCACAGCTTTTTAGCTGAGAACCTGCTATAGGCCAAGCACCTTAACTATACTCTCCCCCTTGAACCTTCAGAAATTCCAGGGAGCTGGTATTACTGTCACTTTACAAATGAGGAAACAGAGTTTCAGAGTTGCACAGTTAGTCCTACAACCCCATACCCAGCAGTGCTTACAGTATGTCCAGCTGCTTTTGCCCTGTTTTAAACAGCCGTGAAGTGTGGCAGGGGGACGGTTCCACTCACATTCAATGAGAAAAAGGAAGGTGATGATGCCCACGACAGCAGTGATGATGCCAGGCACAATAAATGACAAGCCCCACTGTTGGTTCACCCAGACACCAGCGATCAGGGAGCCCAGGATGTTGCCCACAGATGTGTGGGAATTCCAGATACCCATGATGAAGCCTCTCCTGGAGGGGAGGGAAGGAGAAGCGGTAAGAATAGGAAAAAGTACTTGGCCAGCCAAACTCAAAAGGCTGGTGTAGCCAGGCGTGGTGGCGCACACCTTTAATCCCAGCACTTGGCAGGCAGAGGCAGGCGGATCTTTGTGTATTCGAGGCCAGCTTGGTCTACATAGTGAGTTCCAGGACAGCTGGGGCTACAGGGGGACCCTGTCTCAAAAAGACAAAAAAAAAAAAAAAAAAAAAAGGGCTGGCTGCCTCTAGCCTCTAGGGTGTACCCAAGACAGACTCTCAGAGCCCCCAAGGACAAAGTGAGCAGAGGGAAACCCTGGCTGGTATCAAGTGGGTGACAGTACAGCCTGGAATCTCCTTGCCTTTAGCCAGTTTCCTGAACAAGCACAGATGGGAGCTTTGGCCACAGGGAAAGCATGGAGCCCCCATTCTTTCTTCTCTTTTGCCCTTCAATCCCATTCTAAAGCAGTGGTCCTCAGCTGGAGGTGATTCTGACTCCCACCCTAGGGACTATCTGGTGACATCCAAAGATTTTGAATTATCACAACTTAGATTTTGCTATTGGCATCTAGTGCTGAGATGCCACACATGCTGCAAAAACTCTCAATATGTGGGGTAGTGGGCATAACCAAGAATTTAACAGCTCAGATCAGCAGTTCTGAGGGTAAGAAACTGAGGCAACCTTTACACAAAAGCCAGTCCAAGAAAACAGAGTTTTCTTCCTTTGATCAAAAATGGAAATTCATGTATTAGAACTATAGCTAAAGCTGCCTGCTCTGTGGGCTAAATCTTTATGGATGAAAAAAAGCCCTGCTCTTTAGCCTCAGAGACACATCTCAGTAGGTGAGACCCAGAAAGAAGATGCACTGTCTAATCTTTTCCCTAAATGTGCACCAGAGCCCCCCCCTGCCTCCTAGTAGCCCCCTCAGGGTCTTTTTTACTCCCTTGTCACACTTACTTTCCCTTTCCGAACCAGTTGCCAACACAAGTCACCACAGAGGGCCAGCCAGTGGTCTGAACAAGTCCATTGCAGATCTGTGGGGGGTGGAGGGGGAGGAAGAGAGAGAGAGAGAGAGAGAGAGAGAGAGAGAGAGAGAGAGAGAGAGAGGAGAGAGGGGGGGGGGCAAAAGGAGG